GTATCCTACCGAAGCCCAGCCTACCCTAATGCCTTGTTATCCACACAGTTCTATGGACTCTGCACCCATCAATGACCCTGTGACCCCCAACTGTATGAGTTTCAGGATAACCTGGCTCCTTTCCCTCCTTTTATTTGGGTGGTTTCTGCCACTCAGTGCTCAGGTTTGAGATGCACGTTCAACACTGAATGCTATATTACTAGTTAATTAATTCTTACTCTGCTTCCATCCAAGATTCATCTGCAAAAGATACAGCAACATAAAAACACAGGTAACTGTCTCGTTATTGGATTTACCATTGCCCAGTCTTACTGCATGAACAAAGAAGTCCCAAGATACCCTTATACGTCTTCTCTTGGCCATATGGACTCGTTCTCTTGGATACATGCCCAGGAGTGTAATTTCTGGGTCATTCCACAATCAGTTCTTTAGTTCAGTAAAGAAGCCAAATCACACTCCATGCTTCCAATTTAGGCTGTCTCCAGGCACGGATAAAGACCCTCTTTGCTTCTTCCATCAAGCACTGGGTTTTGCACCTGGCTGTTTTCATTCACAGAAAATATTCGTCTGTGTTTCCAAGTTTTGTAACCATCATTCTAATGACTGGAGAGCAATTGGCGGAGCAGTAATGCTTTATTTACACAGCCTCCTGTCACGCTGAAAGCAGAGTTGCTTTAGATTTAGAATGCAAGCATCAGTATCATTTAAATGTTGTTTATGTTTTTTTTAAATAATTAAACCAGGTAGTAAGCTGGCTTGATTCCTGTTTCTGAAGATGTTCTTGGTAATGAATCTATATACACCATGGCTGCAAATGCAGGCTATTATGAGGAGACATGCATTCATTAGCAGCGCTGGACTAAGCTTCAGATTTCATGGATAAGAAGGGAAAGAGTAACTTCTATCACATGCACTTTTATGATAGCTAGTGGGTGCCACAGCACAGTCAGCTCCTTTGGAGATGCCCTAAAAACTAACCTCTGTGCGAATCCAGGTCCCTCCAAGGGCAATGAGTCTGGAATGCATGAGTAATATTTCTTACCTATCCTGGTGCCCTCTTGGTCTGCTAAGTGCCAAAAAAGCAAACTCACCTATAAGTTAGCTGAGGGCTTTCTGCTGAGGTTTTCTGCCAATAGCTGGACTAGGAGAATATACCACATCTAGACCTTGCAGAAGGCCTCTTTACCATGTTTTGGGTTTAACCCAACTCTGTCATGGCTCATGATTAAAACTCTCCTTGACCATCTTATCAGAGTGTATTTTTACTTTGTGACTAAATACGTCTGGACTCCCTTTCCTAATCCTATTCATGGTCTAGAAGACTCTCTGGGAACTTTAAGATGATGAGAATAAGGGCAAAGTGACCTTGCTTCTAAGTGCCATGACTGCTCAGCTCAGATTGTGTGTTTGGGTCCGAGGAATGAGTCTGAAGAAGTTACTCTAGACTCAAATCTTCTCCCACCTACAGATACATAGGTGATCAAACACAAATTAGTGGCACAACAGTTAACATTTGTGCGACATAAAAGGTGTTTAATTTACTAATAAGCTAATGTATATTATTAGCCACCAGGAAAACTTCAAGTAGGATCCTCAGAGAATTTATGTAAAATGGCCCATGCCATAGCTATGTTCATTTCACCAGAAAGGTTGGTCATTGGTGGGTCTGAGGCTGTCTCTCTTTTTTTTTTTTTTTTTTTTTTTTTTTTCTTCTGGAGCCTAGCTATAGAATGACACACCTATGTGATAGGACTGGCGCTTTCCTGGTGTTGGTCACTGTGTAGCACAGGCCTCCCACTGGCTGTAAGCTCCAGGGACAGAGGTCACCCACACAATTCCACTCAGTTGTAAGGGACTAAAAGCAGCTTGTAATGGAGCATGTCTTCCCTTGCAGTCCTTGCAGACAGACCTCCCTCACCATGTTCGGAGCTTGCATTTATTTAATTTTTCCGTGTAACTTCTGACTTTTTCAAATCATCTTTTACATTTGTGGCTAAACATGCTTGGGACCCAATCAAATACTTAAAACAAGAACAATGGTGAAAGAGGTTTGTTCTTTCAAACTCATGAACGCCTCCTTCCGAGGGACTAGTGCTTCTAACCCAGGTCAGAATCTCCTAGGGAGTTTTCTACCCTCTGTATGTGGTGACCCTGCACCTCTGCCTGCCTGTCAGCATTACACTGCTATCCTGGGAGAAGGGAAGACTTGGATGGTGGTGGGTGGAGGGGCACCAGGTCCCTGGTACCTATTGGTACTTTCTTTAAATTCAACCAAAATCATGTCCTAATATTAAGGCCCTGACTGCCAAAGTCAGTGGGAACCAACCAGGAAAGGCATATGAGCAAGCTGGAGGGTGCAACACAGAAGTAAACAGATGGTTTGTCTACTCTTGAGATTGGCACACAGGACACATGTCCACTCCTGAGGTGATGGGCACACACAAGGAAGATTCACTCCTGAGACGAGCATACACATGAGAGAGTTGCCCATTCCTGAGATGGACAGAGGGGGCTGTATCTACTTCTGAGATGGCCACTTGGCATTCAGTAGAGATACTCTACTGTGTCCTGGCTATTGTCCCTGTTCACCCCCACTCCCACCCTGTCGTCAGAGACAGCACATTGCCATCTCAGTGCTGACACTGGGCTTCCTGGTCTCTGCCCCATGGCTGGTTCAAGTATTTTTCTTTCCCAACTGTAAGTACTTTGGAAGTAAAATGAACATGTATTTTTAAATAAGTTTAATGAAACTTTTTATTATAATAGCACTGGATGTTTAGAAAACTTTAAGATGCCCTCAAGCTGGCTACTCTGAAATTTTTCTTTTTATGTGTTTTATTTATTACCTATATCAGAAGTTTATTTTGTTGGTGTGTGTGTGTTTGTTTGTGTGTGTACAAAACCACCAATATTGCATGTGGAGGTCAGAGTGTTTCCCATTCTGCCTTGTTTGAGATAGGATCACTCCCTCACGCTGCATGCACCAGGCTGTAGTGAGGTTTCCACCCCGCCCGCACCTGTTGCTATGACCATGCCCACTGGGGTGTGGGGACAGGTGCAGATGGGACATGTGGGGTCTCAGTCTGTGGTCCTGGACCCCAGCTCGCTCTCTTGCTTCCTGGTTGGGGTGCAGAGAGCATCCGGGGGCATCCTTGGAGCCGGAACCCATGGAGGGCATCTGTTTCTGGTGTGTTTTCTCCCAGAATAAATACCAATCAGCCTATATTGTGTCCCAGAATCTTATTTCCCACACAATACCAGGCTAGTGATTTACAAGCTTCTGGGGAGTCTGCTCCCCAGAAGCTTCATCTGCTCTTCCTGTAGGAGCACCAGAGTTGCAGATGCAAGCCACCACATATAGTTTTCTGCATGGGACCTGGGGGTCAAACTCAGGTCCTCACGCTTGCATGGCAAGGACCTTATCCACTGAGCCATCCCTCGTGCATTTAAAAATATTGATTGACATTATACAATTTAAATTCTAAAGGATACATTTGTTTCTAGTTTTATTCTTGATTTACAGTTGTTGCTGAGCATTTCTTATGTTTTCATATAATTATATATGCATCAATAAAGTATTTGCTGGTTATCAAAATAACAAAGCAAATGTGAGACATAAACACAGTCCTGTTTCCCTTTTCTGGGCTTGATCCATTTCCTCCTGAATGTTTTGGGTCTCTTCTTGGGCAGTGCTCTGTTTAGAGTATGTGTTTAACTCCCTATAAATGGGACCATTTATGTTACTTCAATGTATTATGCATGTTTGACATTTAATTCCATATCTTGGTTGTAAGATGTTAGTCATTTCTTTAGATGTTACTGCAGCTAACTAATAAAAAACCTTGTTCATAAGTCTCCAATGATGTTTTCTTAGTGTTATGAGCAGATTTTCCTGCAGGTCTGGTCCCACTGCCGCACCAGCCCCAAATAACACACAGGCGCTGTATTTGATATAATGCTGTTGGCCAATTACTAGTGTTTCTTATTGGCTTGCTCTGTTTTAAATATTAACCCTTTTTTATTAATCTAAATATTTCCACGTGGTCTTATCTTACTGGAGAGAGGGCCTGGACCTCTGTTCTCTCAAGTCCCTACATGTTGACTCCTCCCTACTACTTCCTCAAATCCTCCTTGTCTCCTAGTCCCACCTATCTTGCTTTCCTATTGGCCAACAGTGCTTTTATTCATTAACCAGTAAGAGAAACATATTTACAGAATGACATCTCCCATCATCTTAGAGTGGTTTTCACATGGAAAACCAGTACAAATGATTAAAATGTTTCCCAACCTTTGTACAATCCCCACCCCCCAAATAATTTCTGAGGAAAGATCTGACATTGTAAATTTCCAAAATGTGTATGGCAAATACTTCTCATGTGTGCCTGGAGTCAGGGTCCTCAGAGCCTCCCTCACTGTCCTTCCTCACATGCTATGTGGACTCAGACACTAGGACCATCACTAAGACTGTTATAAATTCCCAGAAAGACAGTTCTCATTGATTAACAAAATGGTTTAAATTTGTAAGCCCTACTTTCTTTTGTAAATAGTCCTTGGGGAAGATCCAAGTAGGGAGTGTCTAAATTTGATTCATCAGAAGTCCCATTTCTCCTAATGTAGTACTTATACAGAATGAAGCAGTTCTTGACTCAGTGAGGAACCTAGGAAGGTATGAGTGCATATGGGGGGTGGGGAGCCACTGAACGTGTTATGAGGGACAGCAGATCTGCAACAGTGGGAAGGACACAAACACAACTTCAGAGAAACACATATTAAGTTACCCATCCATAGTTATGCACTGGTATATTTATCAATGTGTAGTTTGAGAACCAACCTTAAAGAAGTGGCCTGATGCTAACAACTTTCAGAGTTTTCAACCAGACTCCAAAATCACAATTTGCTGATTTTTCACTGAAATCAGCAGTGACAAGCTGTGTGTTTGCAATCTTCTGAAATGGTGGGCTACTGAGACTACCTGTTTTCTCTGCTGTGTTTCCTTTCAGCCCACAGACATTGGACATTGGAATACTGGACATTTTTGGTTTTGAGGAATTTCAAAAGAATGAATTTGAGCAGGTAAGTAGGTTTTCTTTTAAAATCTTGTGAATGTGAATGTTAATTGCTATTACAACTTGTGGTTCATATTAACACATTCAAATGTGGGCTTAAATAAGGATATCCTCTCTTTAGTTCAAGTTGGCATTCCTGGTGCCTTGATGATCCATCTCCTCTCTCCATGGTCCATGTGCTCAGAGTTCTTGTGAAGGTCACTAGCTGTGTGTTGGCACGTGAATACTGTGCTAGATCAGAAGATGGAAACTAGGGGAATCTGAAATCAGGAAGCAGCCCTCAGAAAGCTTGGCATGCATCAGAATTCAGGGTCCCTGCTGTGTTTCATGCTGCTGTGTGTGGGCTTATCTTGTGTGACATTCATTGGTTTTTTTTTTTTTTTTTTTTTTTTTTTGTTCACTGCCACTTGAGGATGCTTTTAAGAAAGATCTGACTTGTTTACACGTCTTAGTAGTACTTCAGGAGTAGTTTTAAAATCAAATTAAAAATAGTTAAAACTTAAATGTTAAAGAAAAGCAGGGATATTATTACTGACTTGCATGGGCTCATATAACTACACAGCACTTGGGGAAAATTGAATTTGTTGCTGCTTGTCTGTGGAGCTTCATGTAATTTATGATTGATTTATTCACCTTTTTTTTTTTTAGATATACAATGTGGGTATTAGTGATACTGGACAAGAATTTATATGATATCCATGTGAAACCCAGATCTGTGACTTTTAGTGGCAGATATATCTGGGCCAAGGTGGATTGTCTGTTGTCATTTTGGCTTTCCCTCCTTAATGTGAACGACCAACTTGCAGAGGGAGAGATGAGGTACTGACAGCAGGGGCTGGGACAGTGCAGGATATCCCACTGTACAGTTTCTTGTCTTGTGGGAACACTGAAAACAGTGTGGATTTCTGTCAGTTTTAGTCTAAAAGAGCTCCAATCCAGGGTTAGGAAAGAGGGCACTAGTTAGAAGTCAGACCACACAGGCCATGGGTTTCTTCCTTCACACTTGCCTGCCTGTATGTGTTGTGTAACAGGAGCTCTAAAGGAGGTGGGGAGTGTGAGCAGGAGAGCTTGCACACTGCTCCCAAGTCTGCAGCTGCTCTGCTGTCCTCTCTACTTGGTCCCTGAGTATTGTCTGCTTTTGTTTGGAGACCTCAGAAATTCTCTTTAGAAAATGCACACACACACACACACACACACACACACACACACACACACACACACTCCCTCCAATGACATCCACTGTTTACCTGTGTCCCAGTGAATGACATAATGGGAGGATATCCCAGGAAGTCCCATCCCAGGGAAACTGGCCTCCTACACAGTTGTTCTACACCCAGAATCCTCTTAGGCATCCAGTCTGTGCTCATAGATGATGTGTACACTATTTCACATCTTTGTTAAAGCATAGGCATTGTACCGCCGTCACATAGAGCCTTCACTCTTTCTTTCTGCTGAAAGTTTTAATGATGTAATGCAGAAGATACTCACAGTTTGTGATTTCCTTGCAGAATCTACTCACAGTTTGTGATTTCCAGGTATCAAGAAGAGGCATTTCCCCTTAAGATCTAACACATGAATTGAGATCTTTTGCTTAAATGCTGGTTTTAAGCACTGATAGGTAAAATGTCAAGATAGATTCTTAGACTTTGATTATGGAAGGATTTTTTTTAAATATTACATCCTCTTAGCAGGTCTGACTAGGATTCTTCTGGAAAGATAAGGTTGTCTCTTAGTCCAAATGCAAACAGCATCTTTACCTGGAAGCAGTAAATTCCAAAATTTGCATATGAACTATTTTTTCTTCAAAGGCCATTGGTTTGATTCTCTGTGGATTCCTTTGTAGCGAGCAGGATTTCCTCATTTTCCATTCCACTGCACATGTAAGCTGGTATGCTGAGAAATCATTGCTATATTCAGAAACACACCTAAGAGATAGTATTGCCTTTACAAGCATTCTTCTTATCCTGTTTTGAGCTCATTGACTGGTAGATCAGCTGCTGACTAGAGCCAACTCCAGAAATGTTGAAATTGTGTCTGGTATATTATTTTGTACATAACTGAATTTCATCAAATATGTTTGCAATTGAAATTTGTAGATGAATAAGACTGATAAAGAAGAAATCCTCACAGTGGGTTTGCTGGCTGTTCTTGCTCTATAGTGAACACTGAGGAGTTGTTAGAAGAGAGACACCCTAGGGGAGGTAGCAGGGAGTGCTCCAAAACCCTAGCATCCCTACCTCTGTGTCCTTTGCCTCCTTACCTGGTCACCCAGATGTTATGGCATGCTTCACCATTTCTGTGATGCTGTCACAAATTGTCCTACACTGGATAGATAGTACACAGTAGTTGCCCATAGTTCTGGAGTATGGAAACCCAAGAGCAAGATGCCATAGTCTACAGGTTCTGTGTCTGCTGAGGACCTCTTCTTACATGGAGATTCCTTTTTTAGTCTTTACATTGTAGGATTCAAAAACATCCCTCTATAAAAGCAGTCATGCTGTTCACAAAGACAGTGGTCCTAGTCACACACCTCACTACCATCTAGCACTGTAACAGTTGGGATAATATTTCAACACAGGTTAGGCAGTGGGCTGGGAGACATCTTTCTAATGAGTTGCAACTTTCTGAATTATAATAGTATTAGTTAGGGTTTCTATTGCTGTGAGTAGACATATGACCATGGCAATGGGAATGGCTTATAGTTACAGAGGTTTAGTCCAGTATCATCATGGTGGGGCATGGCAGCATGCAAGCAGACATGGTGTTGGAAATGGAGCTGGGCATTCTACATCTGGATTCACAAGCAACCAGAAGTGCTTGTCTTGAGCATATAAGTCTGTGCATGTCTTGAGCATATATGACACCTTAAAGCCCCCTCCCATAGTGTTACACTTCCTCCAACATGGTCATACCTACTCCAACAAGGCCATACCTCCTAATAGTTCACTGTATACACACTTACATTCAAATTATCACAATAATGAACACAGACTTCTAGATTATATAACTCTACAGTAGTATTAGGTGATTCAAAGTAAAGAAATATGCTATCTTAGCCTACTACTCGATGGATAGAAAGAAGTAAAAATAGAAGAAAGGAGAGTGGTGGAAGCAAAAGGTAGGGGGAGGGAAACCCATATAATGAGTATTCATGATTTAGCCAAAAATTAAACCCAATGGTAGAAGATACAATAAGACAAACCATGATGTTGTCCTCTACACAATCCAGCAGGAGAAAGTGCATGATGACTTATATTTTCACATAAGATGCAGGGAAAGTGGTGACAGGAAGTTTTATAAATTAAAAACAATCTAAGCACATACAGATCAGCTGATAGATCTGATAGCTGATAGATCTGATAGATCAGCTGATAGAAAAGCTTTGGCCCTGGTTTAATCAGTTAAGTGTCACAGACTACTAGCAGATTAAGGAATGTGATATCTAGATGCCAGATTAAAGTTAAAATGCTACCCATAATGGGGTCCATAGAGTGCCCAAACACCTGTGATGCTCCTGATTCTCAGGGCCAGAAATTTGAGCACAGCCAGGGGATGGGCTATCCCTGGGGCCAGAGTTGGAGTGCTCTTATTTGAGTCTCCCTCAGCCAAGAACCCAGGGAAATGACATTCTTAGCTGGATCTCATCTTGCCTCCATTGGCACTGGGTCACTGTCATCTGATCAGTACTCTGGCTTCACAAATCTGATACCTTCTGTAGACTGAAGCCATCCCTGTGATGGAGGAGGGCCATTTCTAATTGTCCTGTGGAAAGGAAGGTGCAAAAGGCTTGATTATGATGCTATTTTTAAAGTGAGAACACTCCATGTGATTTTTAACCATAGCACATTCTTGAAAGCTGTTGGACATCAATATGGGCCCATATGCTGAATAACTGGTGAGCAATCTCAGAGAGATCTTAACTCATTTCCCATGCAGATTCCAAAGCCATACTTATGTAACATGACTATCTCTGTTTTAAGTTTCCTGCTGGGAGTTACATAGAATAAAAAAAAGAAATCAAATAGTTATATGACAAAATGCCATTTTTAATATGGCTCTTATAATAGTAGTGTCTATGTATAAGAAGAGTATGGAGGCTTCTTCAGGCAAGCTTAATATATATATATATATATATATATATATATATATATATATATATTGCATTTAATGACTCTACTTCTCAAAACATGTTCTGTAGATTCATTTGCATCATTTGGTGCTGAAGCAAAGCTCAGACAGTTTATGCCACTCTTAGTAGTTTTCATAGAACCAGGCTCAGAATTCAGCCTGGTGTCCTGTTGTTAGTAAAAAAACAGTCCAACCATTAGTCTATCAGAAGACAGATCTAAGCTTTTACTGTGAGTAACTACTTCCTCTTAATGAGTGGCTTTTCAAAAATTCTTTAGAAATAGGATAGTAACTGTTGTGAGAAGTTTAAAGATAATATTCCTTTAGTAAGTTTTGAGTGCAGAATTTCACACCAAATCTATTTAATATCAATCACTTAGTTAAAATCAAAGAAGCAGGAATGCCTTCCCACCCTAGCACTAGGTCAATTAAAAAAAAATGCCTCAGAATAGAGATAAAGATTCATATAAATCTATGTTTATATTAGAAACATGTTCAGTGTTAATCTCATGGTCCTTCCACTTCAGCTTGACTGGATTGGAACCACCTAATGGGGACAGAGCTCTGGGGACATTCCCAGAAATGTTTACCTGTAAAGGGACATCTCACTGTGCATTGGAGCAGTGCCACTCCATGGCTGAAGTCCTGGACTGAGTGAAAGGAGAAAGCCAGATAAAGGGCAGCATTCACCTCTCTCCTGTATACACCACCCCCCACTGTGCTGGCCCATACCCTCCCACCATGAGGCAAAATACAGACTTCTTCCTTCAGGGTTCCCTTGTCATGGCAATAAGAATAAGAACTAAGACAATGAATAATACTTCATTATTGCATATTTATTCTTTAATAACCAGCATCACTGTATTGAATATGAAGTAA